CTTTCCCATTAGTTGACTCATCTTCTTCATTGCATTTTTGGTCTTTGCCAAGTGGTTTGCATTTTCAGTTTCTGGTACTTGTTCCTTTCTGTGCTTAGTGTTTCTTTCAGGTGCTCTTGTTTAGGGCAGGTCTGGTGGTGACAAAAATCTCTCAATAATTGCTTGTCTGTAGAGGATTTTATTTCTCCTACACTTACGAAGCTTAGTTTGGCTGGATATGAGATTCTGGGTTGAAAGTTCTTTTCCTTAAGGATGTTGAATATTGGCCCCCACTCTCTTCTAGCTTATAGGGTTTCTGCTGAGAGATCTGCTGTGAGTCTGATTGGCTTCCCTCTGTGGGTGACCTGACCTTTCTCTCTGGCTTCCCTTAGCATTTTTTCATATATTTCAACCCTGGTGAATCTATTATGTGCCTTGGGGTTGCTCTTCTTGAAGAATATCTTTGTGGAGTTCTCTGTATTTCTTGAATTTGAAATTTGCACAGCCTTGCTAGACTTGGGAAGTTCTCCTGGATAATATCCTGGACTGTGTTTTCCAGCTTGGATTCATTCTCCCCATCACCTTCAGATACACTGATCAAGTGTAGATTAGGTCTTTTCACATAATCCATATTTCTTGGAGGCTTTGTTCATTTCTTTTCACTCCTTTTTCTCTTGTCTTGGCTTCTCTTTTTATTTCATTGAGTTGATCTTCAGTCTCAGATATCCTTTCTTCTACTTGACCAATTTGGCTATTAAAACTTGTGTTTGCTTCACATAGTTCTCGTGCTGTGTTTTTCAACTCCATCAAGTCATTTGTGTTCTTCTCTAAGCTGGTTATTCTAGTTAGGATTTCGTCTAACCTTTTTCAAGGTTTTTCGTTTCTTTGCATTTAGTTAGAACATGTTCCTTTAGCTCAGAAAAGTTTGTTATTATCCACCTTCTGAAACCTGTTTCTGTCAATTCATCACACTCCTGGGTGAAGTTGTGACCCTGTGTTGTTGAGGAGTTATGATCCCTTGAAGGAGAAGAGGTGTTCTGGCCTTTGATGGTTTCATCTTTTTTGTGCTCGTTTTCCCCCATCTTTGTGGATTTACTTTGCTGTGTTGTCAGGGAGCTGCTTGATAAGATCATGTGTCTGCCTGTGGAGGCACTACTGGGTTTCTAGGGATTCCTTCAGTTACTAGGGAAGTTTCCTGCTTCTTTTTTGTTTGTACTGGGAGATTAGGCCCACCTGTTCCGCTGACCTGTAGGGGCTGCTGGGTTGTTAAGAACACTGTCCTGTTGCTATGTAGGCTTCCTGTGTTTTTTGTTAAAACATGTAGCCCAGTCCCACCCCTCTAGTGGTGGGTTGTGCCCTTCCTCCACTGGCCTGGATCATTCAGGGTTCATCTCAGACTGTGGCACTGGCTGTGCAACCCACTAGAGTCAGAGCTTCAGCCCTCTGGGGTTAGTGGGGGAGGGTAGGGACCCACCCAGCCATCTCCCCCTTTCAGCTTCCTCTCTCTCCTGTCAGGGGATAGAGGTCCGCCCAGCTGCTCCTGCTTACAGCTCCCTCTCTCTCTCTGGGTGAAGGGAGGGGGCAATAGCTCAGTCAGCAGGCTCTTATTCAACTCCACATTTGCAATTCCTGGCGCTTGACTGGCAAAGATCCCCTGTTCTGTGTATTGCTGAGGCTTTGCGGGAAGCGCTGTATCTGGACTGGAGTGCCAGAGGGGAGCCTCTGACTCGCAGGTCAGATGCACTTTTCTTGGTGAAGCAGCACCCCTCCCCGCCTTGGTCTGCCCTGAGTGGGCTTTGCTCACCATCAGACCAGACCCGTTGAAATGCACCTGGTACCTCGGTTGGAGCTAGGAGATCTCTGGATTTCTGTGCCTCTCTCGCTGGGTGTTATGTGCTGGATTTGTGTCTAATCAGCCATCTTGGATCTCTCAAAAACATATATTCTATATTTATTTTCTGCTTTAACTTGAAAACATACATATGAATAAGATATAATGTCATACTCTTTAGAACACGATTAAACCAAGAGAGTTTTAAACTAAAAAAAAATTTTCTCCCTTTTTTTCTATTTTTCATGTTGGAATGCCCTGTGGCTCAATTCTTGTTTCTGTTTTCATCTTTGCTGTGTTCATTCCATTGGAGATCTCAACAAGTCTCCTGGCCTTAAATCTCTTCCGTTCTAAGATTCCCAGTTGAATCCATCCAAATGCTCAAGACAAAAATATGGCAGCCCTTATTATGTTTTCTTTTTTTCATCACACCTATCACTTTCTAACTATATTTCTATAATTCTACTATATTATGTCCTTGTTTGTCCTATTGTTTATTGCTATTATCCTGCTATTAGAATGTAAGCTCCCTAAGGTAATAGAGTTTCATCTGTTTGTTCACTGATACATCTTACATACACAGAATATGACTGACACTCAGCAAATAACACACACACACACACACACACACACACACGTATATGTACGTGTATAGTTAGATTGATTGAGGTGGAGTGGGAAGATGAAAAAAGAAGCACAGCAGACAGAGTGATGGGGATTAGGGACAGAGTTACAAAGGGATCTAGGTTATGACTGGAACTTGGAAATTACAATCATAGTCTCCCCACACCATCCCTCAAGTAAAAAAAACCCAAAACTTTTTGTGAAAATCAGTTAAGGGGCTGAGTTTATTCACACCTGTTTCTTTGGGTGTTGTAGAGCAATTTTGGGACAGTAAGCACCAATACAGAAACTAAACTATGACAGTGGCAGTTCTGAGAATTTGCAAAACTACGTGGGGGCTTTATGGGCTTTGATGCCATCTGTACTTATATCTCTGGGGATGTAAGGTTTGCTGAGGAAAAGCAATACCGGATGACTCCTAAGTCACATGTTCACTGCTTGCAAACAAATTAGAAAAAAAAAAGCTTAGAAAAAGGACTAGAATGAAAAATGGTATTAACAGTGGCTACCTTGGGAATAGAAGTTAAGAACAGTGCAACAACTCAATGCCCATAATTACAGCTTCCAATCAGGGGCTGAGAAAAATGGCCCCTCATACAGCTCTGATCCTATTCTATTGAAAGAAAAAATAGGTGGACCTTTATCTGAAATATGAAATAAAACTTCATTTTCTTCTCTTACTAATGCCTGAAAGCACCCTGTTTTCCTCAGCAGGTTTTGATAAGCAGAATGCTATCTGTGTGCCAGGTACTGTTATTATTTTTTTCTTTCTCTTTTTTTTTCTTGAGACAGAGTCTCGCTTTGTCACCCAGGCTGGAGTATAGTGGTGATCTTGGCTCACTGCAACTTTTACCTTCCCAGTTCAAGCAATTCTCCTGCCTCAGCCTCCCAAGTAGCTGGGATTACAGACATGTGCCATCACATTCAGCTAATTTTTGTATTTTTAGTAGAGATGGGGTTTTGCTGTGTTGGCCAGGCTGGTCTTGAACTCCCGACCTCAGGTGACCTGCCTGTCTTGGCATCCTAAATTACTGGGATTACAGGTGTGGGCTACTGTGCCTCGCCCCGGGTACTGTTCTTTATGCTTACTTACTAATGAATCCTCACAGCAACTCTTTGAGGTAGTTACTATTATTATCTACATTTTATTTTTTAGATGAGGCATGTGAAGCACAGAATAAAGTAATTTGCTCAAGGCTACACATGTAGTAGTGGGGCAGTGAGAATTGGAAATTTCAGGCAATCTGCCTTCAGAGCTGTGTTCCTAACTCCGAGGGGGCTGTGGGAGGCAGGAGGGAAGTTCTAAAGAAAAAGGAACACATGCACATGTATGTTCATTGTGGCACTGTTTACAATAGCAAAGACCTGGAACCAACCCAGATGCCCATCAATAATAGGCTGGACAAAGAAAATGTGGCACATATACACCATGGAATACTACGCAGTCATAAAAAGGATGAGTTCATGTCCTTTGCAGGGACATGGATGAATCTGGAAACCATCATTCTTAGCAAACTGACACAAGAATGGAAAACCAAACATTGCATGTTCTCACTCATAGGTGGGAGTTGAACAATGAGAACAACATATGGGCACAGGGAGGGGAACATCATACATTGGGGTCTGTTGGGGGGTGGGGAGCTAGGGGAGGGATAACGTTGGGGGAAATGCCTGATGTAGGTGATGGGGGATGGAAGCAGCAAACCACCATGGCATGTGTGTACCTGTGCAACAGCCCTGCATGATCTGCACATGTACCCCAGAACCTAAAGTACAATTAAAAAAAAATAGGCACATCCTTTGTTAGATGTGTTGTCATGGTATCTGGCTTGTGTTCTAATTGTTATTTCCTAGACCTGGTTTTGCTGAAGGCAATTCTCTTTTCACACGTTATTTTGTCTTCTCCATTCTCCTTAACTAGACACTAATTTTCTAATCTTATCCTAATTACATTTCTTGCCTTCCCAATGCTTTGACTTTCAGGGTCCAAGTTTTGCTTCTTGGCTAGGTCTAATGGCTCCTGTCTATAATCCCAGCACTTTAGGAGACCAAGACAGGAGTGTGCCTTGAGGTCAGGAGTTCAAGAGCAGCCTGGGAAATATAGCAAGACCCTTATCTCTGCAAAAAATGAAAAAATTAGCCAGGTTTAGTGGCAGACACCCTCAGTCCCAGCTCTTTGGGAGGCTGAGGCTGGAGGATCATTTGAATCCAGGAGTTCCAGGTTGCACTGAGCTATGATCACGCCACTGCACTCCAGCCAAGGTGATAGAGTAAGACCTTGTCTCATGTTGTGTTTGGTTATAATGCTCCCTGAGATAGCTCCTTGATTTATTTCCTGGAAACTCTCATGTCTGTCTCTGTATACAATCTTATTGCTCACACTGTGTCCTCCTCCAACACCCATAGAGGATGCACTGGAGCATATCTTTACAAAAATTAAATAATTATTTTTAATTTAAATATTTGGAGAAGTCTTTCCCCCCCCAAAATGTAATTTCTCTCTTGTTTTTGGTTTGCACCAATTAACATTTTAATCTTTAGAGTTGCTTCAAACATTCTGACGTACCTTATATCTGGTAACAGGCTTCTGGATTACGCTGCTGGATCCTGAGTTGACGAACTGGGGATAGCAATAAGCATTTATAAACACACAATGCCTTATGATAATCCCCGCCAGAGCTTCTTTCCCTAGAGCCAGTGGCATTCCTGATATCCCAAGTAGCACTGAATTTTCTGAAGAAAGTGATTTTAACATGAAAACCCCATTTGATGTCTGTAGTGACCACGAGTATAATTTCTAAACAGATTCATTTTTCCTCTATTATAGGGATGAAAAATGTTTTGAAGTCTCTGGTCGTTAATTGCATAGGTGATGGGACCCACGGATCTCACAATGATTTTATGAGGACTTGTAGGCACTTCATTTTTTTTTTTTTTTTTTTCCTGTGGGTAGGGTTTTGCACTGGCAGGAACCTTGGCAATCGGGCCTGCCCTCTTAGTTTTGTTATTTGCAAATCCGCTAAGCATATCTTCCAATGTGTTATCGCCATGCAGCTCACCACGGGGGCGCCTCTTCCAGGCTTGACATGCACTTGTTTTTTCGTTTTTAGTTTTAATTCTCATTTATTGATTCTATAAAGTTAATTATTAGAAAACAATTCCTAGGGGCTAGGGTGGTGGCTCTCACTTGCAAGAACTATGTTTCCCTCATAATGTTATTAAAAAAATTGTGAATGGAAGATAGTTTCAGAAAGCATTAGATCTGAAGGTTTATAGGTTGCCCTCCACAAACATCCTATCCTAAGTACTGTCATCACCTCTTGGGACTAGTTGAAAGGATTGTTGCTTCTCGTATACCAAGAATTACATTTTGTCCAGTATCGTATTCCTGCCTGCAGCAGATGTTATAAAAGATGTTTCAAACATACTAAGAAGGGGACTGGGGACCCTTGAACCCAGGTGAATGAAATCCCGTCATGAAAGCAGAAGCATCTTAGCCTGTGTTTATTTGTTTTTACCTCTGATACTTTATTGCTGTGTCACTCTGTGAGAGCCACTTAAGTTCTCTAAGCCTCAGTTTTCCTGTTTGTACAGTGGAGATGAATGATAGCTATCTCATGGGGTTGTGGCAAATAAGGTGAAATAAACTTGAAATGCCTTTAGAAGGTTCCTGATACACTAAGAGATATAAAATCGAATAGTTATTATCTATGGCTAAATATCTGTCATATGCTCTTTCATATCTTGGGCTGAGGATTCTTTCTAGATGATTTGCAATAGGTGATTGATTGTATTATTTCAGTTTAAATGATTTTTCCTTATTACATACATTCTTTCCAGAAAGTTCTCAGTGTTAGTAAATGTCTTCCACTTGAGGACTCCCACTATAGGAAAGCCTTAAAGGAAATAATGTATTTTGACCAGAGCAGAGATCACCAGGCCCTTCTCTGGATGAAATGGCTGTATGTGGATGTCTCACAGGCCTTTTCACAAAGCAAAAGGGACTGGGTCATACTAAATCTTTTCTCCCTTTGAGTCTTGTTTTTGGTTGAAAAGTACAGAGTTGTGGGTAAGGAAGTAATGAAACTCTCGTCTATGGAGAAATTTAACCTTGGGTAAACTTTCTACTTGTCGTTAAGCCCCCTTGGTGGGAATTTTGGCAACTCTTACCATGGAATTATTATAGTATCCTTATTCAGAACATCCATGTTAGAAGTCTCTGTTTGATTTCCCCAAATTCCTCCTGTCCCCCTAGGTCTCCTTTTTTTCTCTTTCTATATACAGTCTCTCTAAAAAATGCCTCTGTAGCCCCAGACATTAAGCTAAGGCCTTCGGATTTTTCACTCTGCAGAAGATAAGCCTAAAGTTAAATAGCCACTCTCTTATTCTTCAAGCATACGCCTTTAATATCTTTTCCACATAGGCACCTGACCATCTCAAGAAAATTATTAAAACATGCAACAAACAAGGCATTTCTAAGACTGTATTCACTCTAAAATGGGCTCCATAAATGTCAGAGATTGGGTCTTTAGCCCATCTCTAGACCACCTGAATTCAGTTGAAAAAAAAAATGAATCGAAATCAATAATACCATAGTTTACTCACAAAAAATGATGACAAAAATGAGTAAATTGCTACAACAATTATAGGGATAAGACCAGGACGACTTGAATCCGCTCCTATCAAAAGCCAATGAATCCAGAGAGTTCCCAGTGCACTGTGAATCAGGCCAATCATTATTTGCACAGCCTGTAAGAAGAGAGAGCCAATATTATTACTCCAGTCAAATCTATAACAGATGATTACAATCTGGGTGACTGAGGTTAGGAGAACGCTTGGTTTACCCCGGTACTTCTGAAGCAATATTGAAAGAATTATGTGTCAGGGAGAAAGCAGGCTGAATAGAGAAATGGCAGCCACAGTTGGGTGATGGGGTCTCCTCATTTATTTAAACAGGGAGTATCTGTTTTTGTTTCATAGCAGCCTTTCGAGATAACTAATATATATTTTTCTAGTTGGCTCTAGTTAAGTAAAAAGCAGAGGCCTATTTGTCTGTTTGGCTCAGGACACTCAACAAAAAGAGAGTTGTTGACTCCAAAGACCCCCATGGTGCGGCCTTGATATCTGCCTCCCTCCTATAGTTGGTTCTCTGAGGTCAGCTCCAGCCTGTAGACTCAGCTCGTGTTCTCCACTCTGAATCCCAAATAGGAACTTTTGATCTTGCCTACTTCCCTCATCCTCTCTTGTTTGCAACTTGGACTTCAGTTTCTCTCTGCTCTGCCCACTCCCGCACCCAATGCTGACATTTGTAACCAATCTGGATCACAGCTCTAGACTTTGTTCAGAAAAGCAGGCAAACAGGCCTTTGAGACGTGGACCACCACCTGCGGAGGTCTGGCCTGCAGACCCTGACTCAGCGATGGATGAATGAATGCACTCTTACGCCATTACAGTGATTCAAATGGGCTAGGGATGGTCGTTGGCTGCTTTCAGAGGGCAAACTCCAGCCAACCAACCAAGACTCCCTCTCCATCACTACATTTATCCAGTCAGATTTTACAACAGACGTTCTAAGTTAACACACTTGTGGATAATTAACATGGTTCAAAGAATGGTTTTACGACTGATAAAAGGTTTAGTTTCTGGGTCCAGAGTAGGCACTATTACTATTAACTATTAACAGGTATTCCCTGTTGATCTCCGCCTGAGAGCTCCATCCAGCACAAAATTTGCATGAGTAAACAGAGTAGAGACAAAGGGATTTGGCATAAACAGACTTAAACTGGGAAAGCCTTTTATCATCTCTCTCTTAATGTAAATGAGGTGGCTGCCTTCAGCCTGCCCCAATAAAACCTTTTGGCCTTCCAAAACGTTTGAGATTACAATCTATAACTTCTGCTAATATTTTGCCAGCCACCCCAAGTGAATATCAACAGGCCCTCTAGTGACTCCTGGTTTTCTGTAACTCTTATGTGAAGTGGTTCTCTGTGGCCTGCTTAGAGCTGGGCTTTATCCTCCAGCTGGAATAGAGCCACCTGCACATACCAGTGACTAGGATGTGTGGAACCACCAAAGGAGCTGGAATGGAGATTAATCAACATCACCTGCCCTGCAACTGCTTTACCCTCTGGTGCCCATTCTTTCTCCTTGATCCATTTAGGTAGTTTTAAGTGAATTAAAGCTACTTTAATCAGATTACCTTAAAATTCATGTTCATAGGGAATTTATAGGTTTCTGTTCTGGCATTGAGATTATGTAAAAGTATATTATTCAGGGTTCTCTGGAGAAACGGACCCTATATATTTTATATATATATATATGTATATGTAATATATATTATATATTAGTAAAAGGAAAATAAATCTCAGGACCTTGTCTTCACAGGTATGGAACAAAGGACAGAACTCAAAGTCATCCCTCTGCTCATCTGAGACAAATGTATATCTGATTGCTTCCTCTGCCCTATGTTATTTTATCTTACGTAAAAATGCAGATTTACTGGACTAGACAAATGTATAAGTAATTATTCCTATACCCTCCTCTCACATGTAATTTGTGTATTCAGTGAATGGCTGATGAAAGACTCAAAAGGATGCAACTGCTTGCCTCTTATCTATTCATGCCCTTAAAAAATTTCTACCTCTTTCCTCCATACCTGTGCTTTTGCCTTTGGATATTGAGGTCCCCAGACCCTCTTCAGAAAAAGCATGGATCACAATTTTCCCTGTGGTTCTGGGTTCTTTCTCAAACATCTTAAAATGATTTAGACGTGCCTCAGTCATTTTCTTTGATCTACTTTGTAAATTTTGGCTGATGAGTCCAAAATTTACAATGTGGGTCAGCAGGCTGGAGACACAGAAGAGCTGATGGTGCAGATAAAGCTTGAAAGCAGTCTTCTGGAAAATTCCTCTTGCTCCATGCAAGAGGAGGGATGAGGGAAATGGAGGAAGCAAGGTCAGCCTTTCATTCTGCTCAGACCTTCAACTGATTGAATAAGGTCTACTCACATTATGAAGGGCGATCTGCTTTATGCAAAGACCAGTGATTTAAATGTTAATCTCATCCACAAACACCCTCACGGGAACAGCCATAATAATGTTTGAATAACTAGGCACCTTTTGGCTGAGATAAGTTGATATACAAAATACCCATTATAAGTCAACTTCATCACTTAGCAGTCATATACATCTTGTGAAATCATACTTAATATCCAATGTAAGATATACTTTGGCCTAAGAGCTGTCATGCGTGCAACAAAAAATGCACTAGCACTTTTCCAGAGGAGGGTGCAAAATTCTTGAGTGACGTTTACTCTTTTGCTTGAAATACCACAATTTAAAAACTATAATATAAAGTCAACACATCTTATGTTACATGATAAGGGGGATAAGAGAGGAAAGAAAGCAAAGATATGTAATACAAACATATTCATAACAAAATAAGGAAAAATACTCCTGATAATTCCAGTCCTTATTTCCGTAACTGGCCACATGGTTATAGCTGGTATTTATGAGCATTTTCTCCCACTACCCAGTCTGTATTTCCTTTGTGTTCAGCAAGCACCTCAGCAGCCTGTGATGATTTACTTAGTGGGTTGACCCAAACCCTCCTTCCCGAAGTCTGACCATCAGTAGTCCTGTCCCAATTAGGTGGTTGTAGTTTTCCATTGACCTTAATCATAGGACATGGTAATACTGAAATGCCCTAAGGGATTTCCTGTATTTCTAATATCTTATTCCTTAACTGTGAAGTAATAGGCCAAATTTCCTCACAGTAGTCAGTGTCAATAACCCCTTTTGCACAATAACTCCCTTCTTCGCCAACTGATTCAGAGACGTCAAAAGTCCAAAATGGCTAGTTGGCAGTCCTCACTTCTAGTTCAATGAAATCCATTATTATGTCTCCTTGTAGAAACATTTCTTCCTTTGGAATAAAGTCATCTGACAGGCAGAATATAAGGTTTCAGGACAATAAGCACATTTTTGCTAGCAGGTAACTATGAGTACTAGTGAGTGGTATTCCTTCCATTTTCACTCCCTGATTTCTGGACCTGTGAACCCCAGCTTTGGGAGAAACATCCTGCTAATGAACCTCACCCCATTTAAACAGGGTGTTGCCAGCTAGCTGGTGCTGTCATTGTCTTCAAAAGTTCACGCGTCATTCTGTCAAAGCAGCTACTTCACAATGGTGGCGAACATGGTGAGGCCAGCAGATTACATGAGCTTGAGGTTATCGATGCACTTCATTTGCTCTGCAGTGAGTTGGTTGATCAAAAACAATGCTGTGTGCCATTACCATGGCAATAGATAGAGCGTTCTTGAAGTTCACAAAGGGTAGTGTTTGCAGAGGCATTGAAGGCAGGGAAGGTAAAACCATACCCAGAAGAAGTCTCCATTCCAGTAGGAAGAAAACACCGCCTCCTCCATGATAGAAATGGTCCAGTGTAGCCATTCTGTCACCAGGCTAATCACTCCAGGGAATAGTGCCATATCAGGAACTCAATGTTCATCTCTGCTGCTGGCATATTGGGCACTTATCAGTGACTGTAGCCAAGTCAGCCTTGGCGAGTGAAAGTCCACGTTGCTGAGCTCAGGCATAACCTCCATCCCTGCCACTGCCACCATGGCCACTTGGTTAATGGGCCCATTGGACAATGATGGGGTGGCTGAGGAAAGAGGCTGAGTGGAATCCATAGAACGGGCCATCCTATCCACTTGATTATTAAAAGCTTCCCCTGCTGTCTGGGTGTGGTGGCTCACACGTGTTATCCCAGCACTTTGGGAGGCCGAGGTGAGTGGATTACCTGAGGTCAGGAGTTCAAGACCAGCCTGGCCAACATGGTGAAACCCTGTCTCTACTAAAAATATAAAAATTAGCCAGGTGGTGGTGCATGCCTGTAATTCCAACTACTGGGGAGGCTGAGGCAGGAAAATCGCTTGAACCCAGGAGGCAGAGGTTGCAGTGAGCCGAGATTGCACACTGCCCTCTGGACTGGGTAACAGAGAGAGACTCCATCTCAAAAAAAAAAAAAAAAAAAAAAAAAAACTTCCTCTGCTGCGGTTGCTCTTTGGTACTTTAACGTGGGACACACATATATTTATGTGTTTTGCCTATTCAGAAATCTATCTACAAACCTGTTCTCTAGACTCCTGTGTCACCACTTTTCTAATCATGTTTGTTTCAAGTCCCTGACATTCCAGCTACATAATTGGCCGCAGCCCATGAATTAGTATACAGTCACACACCTGGCTATTTCTCATTCCAAGCGAGATATACAACCAGGTGTACTGTTTGAAATTCTGTCCACTGGGAAGATTTTTCTTTTTTATTTTCTTCAGGAATGTCCCAGAAAGGGATTACAGGGCTACAGCTGTCTACTTGTACGTTGTGCCTGGGAATCATGTAACCTTGGCTGGTCATGGTTCTTTTTCTGACAGGGTAACCAAAACCTTTCATCCTGAAGAGTCTGGGCCATTCACAGGCTTGCAAGGACTGGGTTGTTGTAATATTCCATTGACCTTAATCATAGGGCATGACAGCAGCAAGAGACAGCCTAAGGGATCTCCTGTATTCCAGACATACTCATTTTTACCTCTATTCATTGTGAAGTAGTGGTCCCATTTGCCCTTGGTGTCCTGGATTGATCACCATAGCTATTTTTGGACTCTCTTTTTTGCCTGTTGACTCAGAGGCAACAGGAGCCCAAAGTGGCTGGATGACAGCTTTCACTTTCAGTTCAGTGAATTCAT